AAAAACACAGTTAAGGGGGATTTAATCTGTAAGACTTAACTCATGGTGTACTAACCACCTAGTGAGAACTGTCCCTGGGCCAGCTGTCACTTCCTCTGACCACCTCCAAGGACATACATGCATCAAAGATCCTGAAGGCCATCCAAAGTTATTTGGCTGCACCTCTCAGTGATCATAACTGGAAGGCCATGCTAAGGTACCCCTTCACAAACCTCAGAGTTTTTTTAAGAGTGAGAACCCTCATTACAGCCCCAAACTTAGCCCCTTTTTCAGGCCCTGACCCCCAAAACTTATAGGAACTGTTATGGAATCCCATCTTCACCCCTAAAAGGGGGGGGGGTGTACCAAGGTGCCTACCAGGACTATTTCACCTTTTTCATGCCTCTTTGCTTCTGCGTGAGGTAGGAGGCATGTGATTGGGGCCAGTGAAGCCAACCAGCTCACCAAGACTGGCCTCTTTCATGGGGACCTTTAAATTTGCCCCCATACCTTAGGTTTTGCCTGCTAGGTACGGGTGGGCCAACTCCCAAAGTAAGAAGGAACCATGTTTGGTGTTCAAGTGATCTCCAGTTATATAACAACAACAACTACTACTACTACCATCTGTCAGCTGCAAAAGACCATCCTACTCTGATCTGCACGCATTATTCACCGATACACCACACAGTCCTAGACACTTGGGATGTGTCCAACGTATGATCCAACACAAAAGACAGCATAGTGATCTTGTTTTCTGTGTACTAATCCTGTGATGTATCAAATAATAATAATAATAATAATAATTGTATTTCTTAGTCACCTTTCCTCATGGCTTGATGTGGCTTATAGAAGTTAAAACAAGCAGTTATGTGAGTTTTCCAAAAGAAAGCAAAAAAGCAAAAGAAACCATTACCTGATTTAGCACACTTTTTGGAATATTATATTCAAAAAGATTCAAAATGTTATGTGGAAATTATTTCACTGCAATATTGCCACCTCAAGATGGGTAAAAGGTTGCATTCCCAACACGAGACTCCCTCCGTTTGGTTTAAATTAACTTCATACTTTCTAAAATGAAATGTTTTGATTTCTTGCCAAAATGTTTCTACTCTCTTGGACTAGGTAAAGATGGCCACCAAGTCAGAGGAGCCATTGTTTACAAGACATAGATTCAACAGACATCAAGACAGGAATATTAGCACTACCGAAAAAATGGTCCTATTGCTTAGCTAGTACATTACTGCTAAAGCACTTCACAACTTGTCTATAATTCTTGAATAATAATTTTTTTAGAAAAGGCTGTGCAGGAACTGGTGAAAATCAATGTTGGAAGTGCTCCAAGAGAGAAAGATGCAAACTCATGAAGAATACTGCATCAGGATGTAGCACTGTTCTCAGGAAGCACTATTAGGAATCACTACCTCTTGACTATTTGGAAAATACTGCTGCAAATAGATAGATAGATAGATAGATAGATAGATAGATAGACACACACCTGATGAGAAAATGAAAAATAGAGGAGAGGAAGGGAGGGATATCAAAATGGTATCAGAATGAGGGCATTGTCCCCCAATGAAATTCTCCTTTGGATTTTCAGCATTGAAATACCTTAAAACTTCACTTTAGCATTTCAGAATGCAGTTTAGGGATCCAAAGGAAATGGGTTGGCAAAGTTACCAAAGGAAGGCAAACACAGCAAAGACAACAGTTCCAAGTGTGAATGATCTTTAGAATCCTGCTCTCTGCAATGCTAAAGAATTTGAAGACTGAATAATATTCATTGGCACAGAATTCTTATTAGGGTGGGACATACTTTCATTTTGACCCTCCCCCACTCCCTAGCAGCCACATTCCTGAAACATTTTTGTTGCTTCTGCAAATTTTTGGGTTAAGTTGTCAGAGTATTTCATTTTTTCCTGCCTCTGGAGACCAAATATTGTTTTGCCGTATTGGTGCTCCTCAAGATGCCACAAAGTTCCACAGAAAAACATTACAGTGGAGTGTTCAGCCCAGATCAGCCCAATACTGTTTGAATTTGTCAGACAGTAGAATTTAATACAGAATCCTCATATCTGCCATTCAGGTAAAAACTAAAAACTAAAAACTAAGATCTAGTTTTAAGGTTGCCATAAGTTAGAAATGATTGAAGGAATAAAACAACAGGACGAACAACAGTTTGGGAAAGGAATTTTGATTATGAAAAATACCACAATCTAACTATTCTCATACTATTATGACACTGTGGTTGCTTTTTCTTCTGTTTCTTGCTTTAAGTGGGAGATCTTGTTCCTAATCTACTAACCTATCAATTTGAGCCTGATACAACTACTACACAAATCTTGGTGTTTCCCTCTAGTTGGATTTTCATTTCTTTACGGCAGCCTTTGAGTAAGCAGTATCCTTCTTTTATTTTCCACCAAACCTACATAATCACAGGGAAGACTAATTACTGAGCTGGCTACTAAAGTGCATTCAGTGTCCATTAAGCAAATGCATTAAATGCTACATGAAATACCAACTACAGTCAAGATGAATATGTTCCCAGCTACTAGATCTCGCTGTTTTGTCCACTTCATCACCCAACCCCATTTTTTAAAATATCATTCCAAAACCTCCCAAAGTCAAGAAAATATGTGAAAATAAACCACACCCAATCACCCCAGAACTTTACACGGCCTCTAAATATCTCTATTTTCTTTTGCAGCCCTTTTCAAAATGGCAAAAGAGCCATTTTCTCAAGACGTTATACTTATTTTCAGAATGTATAAATACCAACAATGCTTTTCAGAGTTTTTAAAAAGGCCAAAAGAGAGAGAGCAGAATATCTTCCACTGAAAAACATCAATGTTACTACCTCATCAAATGAAAAGGGAGCATCATAAGCCACCACCATGGCAGCACGGGAGGCATAGGCAACAACAGGGGGAAGGTGGGCAATGCGGGGTGCAGAGCAGCGGGTTCCCCCATCAGTCCTCGCCAGATTCACCATGACGTGTGGCAAATCCTGGGTTTAATGTGATAAGCTGTTTCATAGGAAAGCTGTTTCATAGGAATGGTAAATTGCATCCATCTATACAAGGTGTTATGATCTTTGCATTAAACATAGAGTAGCACCATACAAAAATGGGAGAGGAACTGTAAGTCTTTGTGCGTGTGATTCTCTAATGCAGGTTAATGCAATTTCGTTTCTTTTACAACCAACCCTTTCAGAAATTAGCTGACTGTAGAAATGTTGAAAATAGCAGTATTTTACTCCAGGGATAACTCCAGATGGAAAATTCCTCAAGGAATAAGCACACCAATTCACCACACCTGATGCTCCAAAGAGGACTGCACTGACTGCTGAAGCCTATTAAGTGTACGGCAAAACAGCATGCAGGATGGGTGACACCGTCCAGTGAAAGGCAATGTGACAGGATCAGGGAATGAGATCTTGAACCACAATGTTACACCCCAAGTCACCATAGATGCACCAAAGTCCGGTTCAGCATGTTGCATGAGAAACAAACACCCCAGGATCCTAAATAGCTCCTTCTTCACTTTTAGGTGCTATTTTGGGAATGACACTGAGAAAGATAGAGATGTCTGTGAGTAATGTTGGATGGCTCAAACTTGTGGAGGGGACAAAACTAGCCCCCAACCCTTATTGAATTTCTCAGCCTTGACCTAATAATTTGTAACAATTACTTTCAAGCTTTGGTTCACATCAAGTATATGCCAACAATTTTTAGCATATGTATTGTTGAAAGTTTTCATGGCCAGAACCACTGGGTTGTTGTGAGTTTTCCAGGCTGCATGGCCATGTTCAAGAAGCATTTTCTCCTTACGTTTCACCTGCATCTATTGCAGGCATCAGCAGAGGTTGAGAGACCTCACAACCTCTGAGGATGCCTGCCATAGATGCAGGTGAAACATCAGGAGAGAATGCTTCTGGAACATGGCCATACAACCTGGAAAACTCACAACTACCCAATTTCTAGCATAGCTTTAGATGTATGCATATATTCTACAATGCATGCATGGCATCAACACTAAGCCATACAACAGTCAAAACTTTTTATGCAGATCATTAAAAGTAGAGGTAAGTAGGTTAAATGTTCCCTACATTTCCTGTGAAATTCACCAGATGTTTTTCAATGCTGTGGTCCATTTCTGAGACAAAATAGGAAGAAGAATGTGAAATGTGAAATGAAGAGAAGAGTGAGAGGAAGGTTGGTGCATGTTCATGTCCATGCTGATTTCTTTCTTGAACATAATTTACCTCTCACCAAGATCTGAAATTTACTAATGACATTAACTTATCAAAAAAGAAAATGAGGATCTGGTACTGGGAAATAAGAACTGGTGTATAGTTGCAGAAGCAAAGTATCAGAAGAACAAGTGTGTGTCTGAATCATACAGTATAAATCCCATATGCATAGGGGATATATTTCTGGGCTTGGTGTGGATATATGAAACTATAAATAATAGCAAGGCTTATTGAAATGAAGGACCTTTGGCCCAAAAACATCATACAATCATGCTGAAGGACTAGAAAATGCTTTCAAATGCATTATTTTCTCAGAAGTAGATAAATAAAATTGCAGGTAACAGACCTACAAGTATGGGGTTTTTACTGTATTTCAAAAATGCACAAATTTGTTTAAAATTGAACAAAATGGCTACAAGTTTTTATTTTTCTTATGGAAATTATACAATTTAAAGAGTTACAGGAATGTAAATAAACACAACAAGCTTTATCATATCAGTACAACCTGTTGAAGCGTACACATTTCCCATACACATTTCTTGCAACTGATGTACATAGCATTTTAATGGTTTGTGTACTATTTTAATGGTGTATTTCATATTGGATTTAATGTATGTTTTTTATGTATTTATTTGTTTGCCTTGTATGTGAAAGGCCTCTGGTCTAAGCATTAAATAAACTACTACTATATTTTCCATACCATCACTGAATTGAAAAATAATTTATTCTTATTAGTAACAGAAGTTTTCTGCAAGAGAAATATGATTCTTACCATAGTGAGGAATAATGGCCCAGGCCATGGCAGAGGCATAAATGCCTCCAATCATCCAAAACATACAAAGCCAACTTAAATGCTCTCCACGTTTCTCCCGAGCCAGGACTTCAGCAAAATACGAGAATACGATTGGAACAGCTCCTCCAATCCTAAATCAAGACAAAGGATGCATTATAAAAAACAGCAGAAGCCAAGAATAAGATCTGTACCTCTTAAAAGCATTGTTCTTTATCTGGAAACATACACCAATTTATCTGAAAGTTTTTTTTATGGCAGATCCACACTGAAGCTTCTGGTATAGATATACACCTATGATGTTAGGAAATGAATTACTTAAGACATCTAGGAAGCCCTTTGATAAATATTTATGAAGAGAGCAACTACATTGCAATTAGTAATGTTGCTGAATACTAGCCAATGCCAGTTTGGGTAGCAGCCATTGCCCCAATGCAAAATAAATGTTATGATTCCTGGAAATCTATCGCTAATCTCAATTTTAACCTAAGTTGGACAAGAAGTTAATGGGCTGGCTTCACTTACTATGTCTCCAAATTTTTTTTGGTTGATCTTTAGTAGTAAGGAAGCAGGTGGTTGTTTCTCATGCTCCTGCCACAAGGCATGCCAGGTGAAATGAGATCTAGGATTTATAATTTTTTAATACTACTGACTCAAGTCAAAACACTCTCTGCATTTGGCACAGGGTGATAGTATTATGCCAGACTACAAGAAAAATGCTCCTCTTTTTCCTGCAGGGCCAAAAGTACAAGGAAATGCTCCAAAATCCCAAATTCTCCCCATAGGTGGTTGAAATAGTGACATATTTGCTTTCACTTGGTTCAATTTACCCAACTTTGTTTCATGCACAAAATTATGCAAAATATTGTGTATACAAATATTTGTATTTGGACTTGAGTTCCATATCCAAAATATCTCAATGCATATATGCAAGCATTCCAAAATTGGGGGTGGGGGAACGGGAATTGACAAAATACAGAATATTTCTGGCCCCAAGCATTTCAGATAAAGAATACTCAACCTTCACTACAAGCTGATTGTCTCTGAAGTTTTGTCATCTACATATGAGAACAGAGAAGCAGCTCCCACTCTACATAAGCTACTCATCACTCATGAAGTTAAGCCTTTGATTACCATAAGCTTCTAAATTTTCATGTCTGCACTGACCATAATGCTTAAAAAGACACATGGGACAACAAATTCAGGAATGGAAATATTTTAAACAGTGTATTCAGTGAATTCTGATACTAAGTATTTTTAGTATTGTTCATGAATATTTCACTGAGGACTCATCTGAATGGACCACATATAGCAATGCTGATCAGGAATGGGACACTTTTTATCGTGTCTGAAACTGCGCAATAGAAACTGCAAGTCACAAGTCGCTTCTGGTGTGAGAGAATTGGCTGTCTGCAGAGACATTGCCCAGGGGACACCCAGATGTGTTGCCATCCTGTGGGAGGCTTCTCTCATATCCTCGCACAGGAAGCTGGAGCTGACAGATGGGAGCTTACCCCATCTTGTGGATTCAAACTGCCGACCTTCAGGTCATTCAGCCAACACAAGGGTTTAACCCATTGCGCCACTGTAGCTCCTGACACTGCGACACTGAGAACCTGGAATGGATTTCTGCTTCAGAAATGTTGACTTCCTACTGAAAATTGTCTACCTGCACTTGCAATCAACAAGAGTAATTTTCAGTGGGATAGTGGCACAGAAAAAGGATTAATCTTGTCTCCAATAGCTCAACAATTACTTTAAAAAGACAAGAACGGTCAATAAAAACTAGGGTTAATACTAGAGTTAGATTCTTTTAGTTATCATGATGCATTTTGTAGCACAATATGCCTCCGTCCTGCTGAAACTAATTTTGGATATCTGTGTTAATACAAAAGGGACAAATCTTGTACTATAACTGAGATGCACAGTCCTGGCACACGTGTAGCCTCAAATAATATGTTGAATATGATTTTTTTACATAACACAAACTTACACAAAAACAAGGTTTATAATCATGAAACAACATCTATTACATCAACTGTGAAGTGTTGTTTTGTTTCTATTTAAAAGGAATGCACACAAACAACAGTGTAAATGAAACACACTAATCTTCATCATAAACCTTCCCATTCTCTTCAAATCCAAACTGACCCTAGAAAAATGACCAGTCCCTGAAAAGAAAATTATAAGAGGCAATATTCAAAATTCACATTAAGAAAATTGCTTGCCAAACTACACAAATTATACAAATTTGTTTACTGAGAACCGCACATAATATGTGTATGATTTTTTCTGTGAAAACTTTAATAAATTTTAATCGGATATGGAAAATAATAAACCTGTTATGAAAACAAACTTAAGGCAACAAATTAAAACAAAACAAAAATAAAGGAACACATTTATCCATTTCTACTCTCCATTTCAAATGCCATGGGGGGAAAAAAACTTTTTCTGCCCTTTCCTCTTTTTACTTCACTTATTATAGTCATGTCAATGCATTTGTTTTTCCTGAGATTTCTATAGCCAGCACAGATGATATGGACACAAAATCATGTACAGATTAAAACTGTATTAAGAAGGCTGCTCTCCTACACTGTTTCATATCTCAGTCAGTCCTCTGTTTAACACAAAAGCTTTCAATATAATGATAATTAAACTGCTCATCTTCTTTATTAAGATTGTGCCTTCTTATCGTATGACCGATACGGACCTGCTGATCAATAAAAACCAGGAATACTGGAGTGTTCTTTCACACAAATGAGTATTTTTTGCCAGCTAAAAATTATGCTCCAAGCACAACTGCCAATTACATTTGTATATGATGGAGGAAGCTGCCCTTCTCAACTCATTGGTTGCTTCCACTGGAGCAACTGAATCAGAACTGCTGTAATTGTCCTTGAGAAATTACTTCCCTACATTATAGTATATTCAGATATAATGTTATTAGCCTTTCTTGTAAATCCTCATACAGCTGAACAAATCATAGACGTCATCCTGGAGCAAAGAAAACAACAACTGGCGCATAGAGATCCTCTGAAGATGCCAGCCACAGAATGCAGATGAAAAAGTCAGGAGAAAATGCTGCTAGAACATGGTCATACAGCCCAGAAACCACACAATACTCCAGTGATTCCAGCTGTGAAAGTCTTTGACAATATCTGAGAGAGATTTTGGTATCCACAGGGTTTTCTGGAACCCAACCACAACAAATACCAAGGACCCACTGTATATGAAGAACATTTTATACAGTGTTATATCTGCAGGTGAAAAATACCTGGCAGACCACAACTCTTTAAATATCAAGTTGGGTCAAAGGAAAGCCATTTTTGTTCCTTTTGCACTCTTATCCATCCTCTTACCAGAAAAACAAGTAGGAAAAAACACATCCAGTAATGAATAAGAAAATAGACCAAATAGAGAACCTCTACCAAGCTGCATCAAAGACAAGGCAGGAGCAATCATTAACAAGACGGGAAAACACAAAATTAGATATTAAAGACAAAGTGAGAGGATCTTACCCAAATCCAGAAAGTAATCGACAGAAGAGAAAGAAGCCATAGCCCTGGACAAATGATGAAAGGAAGGCAAAGAATCCATTGACAGACATACATATCAGAAGAGACTGTCTTCTTCCCACCTTGTCTGCCAAGCCTCCCCAGAAGAACGCCCCCACCATCATCCCAAGGTATACTATGCTACCTGGAACACACAAAAGAGAATTAAGTTATATAATGAAAATCCATATAACTCTTTATATCACTGTAATTGTTTCTTCTCCACCCTTATATAACATGCTTTACTTCTGAAATAACTATAGTGAACAGACGTTACCAGTGTATAATTTGCATACAACTACTCAGACATGTAATGTTTACCATATCAAAGATTTAATATTCATTTTTAAGATGCATTCCATTTGCAAGAACGAAAGGGAAAGAGCAATTAAGTATGGACTTGAGATGTTTCAGAGGAAAACACTGAACAAGTATATGCCTCAAGAGAATTTTACTTCCCTGAGTTATTGATCACTCTTAAAAGGATGGATAAGAAAATATTTCTGATTACCTCAGCACCATACCTCCAATTTTATAATCATTGCTTCATTGGTATTTGTTCCACAAAAAAAGGGAATAAGACATTATTTAGCCTGTAATCCTAAACTGACTATCTCAGGGCAATTCCAGACAACCCTGTAAATTGGGATAAATTGCATTTTAAAAAACGCCATTCCACTCGAGTTCTAGTCCTCACATGCCACAGAAAGTGTGAGCTTGCTGGGGCGGATGTCCAGATGCCCTCTCGGAAACTTCTGGGAGGTCAGGGAGACAGCCCCCACACCATCCCAAGACCACTTAAAAAAGAGGAGGGGAAGAAGTAAAATAACTTACCTAGCTGTCATGAAACTGCTGCCAGCCCTCAGCTGGTGTGAAGGAATGACTTGAGAGGAGAGCGGGGACAGAAGCGATTTTCCTCCTTCTCCTGGCAAGTTATTCCTACGCACCAGCAGAGGGCCAGCAGCAGTTTCATGGTGGCTGGGTAAGTTATTTTACTTTCCTCCCCGTTTTTAAGGGGATTTGGGAAGAGGGTTAGAACCCTCTTGCATTTTCCAGGCTGATTTAACCCAGAAAATGCGAAAGGGCTGTATGGATGGTTCAGACCCTGCCCAGAGTCTGAAGGCAGTCCAGACTCTGCCCACAGCGGGAAAAATGTGGGTCTTCCAAGAAGACCAGTGTCTTTCTTGCTAACAAATTACCTCGGCACAAAGCAGGGCTTGTACTGAGGCTTTACATGGGGCATCTGGATGCCCCACGGAAAAATGTGGGACGGTGCACGTTTTGTGCCCTGTCTGGATGGGCCCTCAGAGTTAGCTTCATACACTAATTTCTAAGAAGATAGGACTACATTGCTCACTGAATAAGTACCTCTCCTTTAGTCAGAAGAAGCCCTTTAGCAAGCTGAGATAGGAATTTAATTCTTTTAAATTCATTTATTTCTTTAAAATGAAAAGTAAAATGAAAAGTAAAATGACAAGAGGAAACCAGTAATTAAAGGTACCAATCAAGGACAGAGACGAATTAACTGGAGATTAATGTATCTGCCAGAACCATGCAGAGCAGTGATATCAACTTTCAACATAAACTGCCACATGCAGAGATGGTACTGGCCCTCTCAGCCCAGTCATAGCAAATTTCTACATGGAACACTTTGAAAAACAAGCCCTGGAAACAGCAACAAAAAAAGCCCAATATATGGTTCATATATGTGAACAACACTTTCACCATTTGGAGCCATGGAGGAGGAGAACTAAACAGGTTCCTGGACCATCTTAACAGCATCCACCCAAACATCCAATTCACCATGGAAAAAGAAAGTGAAGGAAAAGTGCCTTTTCTAGATGTCCTGGTCATCCGCAAACCAAATCAACAATTGGGTCACACAATTTACAGAAAACCCACACACAAAGATAGATATCTACATAAAAACTCCAACCATCACCATCACCCAAGTCAAAAAAGAAGCACAATTAAAGCTTTGGCAGACCATTCAAAAAGAATCTGTGAACCCCACCTCCTCCAAGATGAACTGAACCACCTCAACTGGACTTTAGGCCAATGGTTACTCCACCTCAGACATCAAAAGAGCTGCAAGACCGAGAACAAGCCACGAGAGTCAAGACAAAGATCCACCCAGAGAAAAAGTGTTCTTGTCATACATCAAGGGAACAACTGTCCGCATAGAGAAGCTGATGAAGAAACACAACATACAAACTATCTACAGACCCACCAAGACAATCAAACAAATGCTATGTTCAGCAAAGGACAAGAGGGATCCTCTCACTTCTGCAGGAGTCTACCGTATACCATGCAGCTGTGGACAAGTCTACATAGGGACCACCAAACGCAGCATTGCCCAAACATGAATCAAGGAACAAAGATAGATATCTACATAAAAACTCCAACCATCACCATCACCCAAGTAAAAAAAGAAGCACAATTAAAGCCTTGGCACTGCAGACTATTTCAACCAGAGAAATCAGACATAGCAGAGCACCTGATGAACCAACCTGGACACAGCATATGATTTGAGAACACAGAAAAGCTGGACCACTCTCACAACCACCATGTCAGACTACACAGAGAAGCCATTGAAATCCACAAGCATGTGGACAATTTCAACAGAAAGGAGGAAACCATAAAAATGAACAAAATCTGGCTACCAGTATTAAAAAAACTCTAAAATTACAACAGCAAAACAACAGAGAGGAAACAATCATGGACAGCTAATCACCTCTCAACAAAAGATTCCCCCAGGCACTAACAAGCCACACCAAAAAACTGCCAGGCCATCAAATGCTAATCAAGGTGATCAGTTGAAACATTCACACCTAGCTCCAATGTCCTTATAGGCCAGGACCTGATCCCAGATTATCTGGATTATATGAGTCTCCACTGCCATATAATCTGGGATAAGCAGATGATCTGGGATCAAATCTGAGGATATAAGGACACTGTAGAACAGCAAAACAACAGAGAGGAAGAACTTTCAGATGAGCTGAGTATTAAAAGAGACATGTACAAGATAAAGGGGTAAATGATAAAAGAGGGATTCGAACAAATAGCCAGAATGTGTAAGGCAAATGTCAGAAAAATATAAAGTATAGAGCGATATTGCACAGATTTTCATAGCCAGAAAGAACATCAAGAGGAGTGAATTATGCAGGTAAATCAATTGTTTCGTGCATGTAATCTCATGTGCAGGAAACTTGCTTAACTTTTTGTAACTACTGCTACAAAACTACTGCTTCTTATCAATGAGATTATTTTCAAAATCATGCATATGGTTTGAAGATATGACCTTTCAAAAACATTTTTAGAAAGCAGGATTATTTAAACTCCTTTAACAATAATAGGAACGAACAGATCAAGTGATGATCTGCTTTCTGCATGCTGGGAAATTTGATGAGTCACTGCAAACAACTATCACCCGGAGTGCTCACTAAGGAGGTATCTTGCTTGCTTACATCTGTCGTTTGTGATAACTGTGCATATTGCAAAATACAGCAAAGTGATGAGGTTGCAGCAATATCACTTGTGTTTCAGTTATATTTTGGTTTTAAATCAATATGTTTGTTATGGCGCTCCAGGGGTTGCTGACTTGTAATACCCATCAGTCTCAGGGTGCTTCCAGACAGCACTAAATCACAGATTTTAATCAGGAGCAAAAAATCCTGGAAATTCAGAAGAGATCTCTTGGTCCAGACTTGATACTTTGTTGTGAGATTTAGAGCCTCCCAAATGGCTGTTGTGGGACTTCCCCCTGAAACTTTGGCATTTTTTTAATAAATCCTCAAGATGTGGATATTTGGATATTCAGAGAACCACTGCAGCGAATCACTGCAAAAGTTCTGTTTGTCCTGGCCAGATAAACTGTGCCCTCCACACGTTTCATGAAGTTTTTGGCACACAAAAACAAAAAAAAATGTCTTCTACTCAAGTATCACTTTCTTTTTAGGAACTGAGCAGTCAGGAACAAACATCTAAGACCCATAAACAAATCCAGATTAAAAATATCCTGTGATTTCTGATTGCAGAGACATACAGACATGCGAAGATATGCATATTCAATATGCCCGGAAATTTCATGTTTTTTTGCCTTTTGTAGCAATTGCTTCTGTGTTTACAGGGAACAGCATTTGGCTGCCCTCCTGTTTGCTGCGGAAGCTCCTGGGATAATTTTACTGTCTGGACGGGCCCTCAGACAGCATAGCCAACAATGAGGGATTATGGATTTTGGAGTTCAACAATATAATGGAGGAGGGTCACTCCTAAAGCAAAAAAATTGGGTTGGTGCCATACTCTCAAAATGAGTATAATACTACCATTATACCTCTGATTAATAGCTGCCATCCTTATCCATGCCCTGCTCACCCCACCAGCTCTCTAAATATCTTGAGCAATGATTAATGGATCACACATCGGACACTTCCCAAGTGTCTAGGACTGTGTGATGTATCGGCAAATAATGCGTGCAAATCCCAGTAAGGTGGCCTTTTGCAGCTGGCAGATGGTAATTTTGTCAGCACCTATTGTGTTTAAGTGCAGGCCAAGGTCTTTAGGCACTGCACCCAGTGTGCCGATCCCCACTGGGACCACCTTGACTGGCTTGTGCCAGAGTCGTTGCAGTTCAATCTTTAAATCCTCATATTGTGTCAGCTTTTCCAATTGTTTCTCTTCAATCATTATTATTATCACACACACACACACACACCCATGTGAACTCAGGGTGCATCTAAGTGTAGAATTGCTACAGTTTGACATCACCTTAATTGTCATGACTCAATGCTATGGAATCATAGGAGTTATAATTCAATAAGACACCAGTACTTTTTGGCAGAGAAGGCTAAAGACCTTGTAGAACTACAATTCCCATGATTCCACAGTTGTAAATGCACCTCCAGAACTGAACAGAGCTACAGACCGAATATTTCACAGATTAAAAAGCAAGTCAACAATGTTTTGTGACTATTTTATAAACTGGCTCCTTAACCGCTCAAAGTAACAGGGTAATTAGTCTGATATTTTAAAAAAGCCTTTCCTATTATCACAACCACGGAGTAGCAAAAGCAATACCTCTCTCTATTCTTTCAGTCCTGTCAGTTGTTTAAAAAACACCCAACATTTATAAAAGATGAAATATTG